CATACTGTCACCCAAAGAGGCACAAAAGGTAACCTCATTCTACCCACCAAGTGCTACAAATTCTGTTGTCAGATCTTAGAAGATATCCTTGCAGGGGCATGATAGCCTGTCTTCCTGTTCCCAATGCTCTTTGTGAAAATCCACATGGCCGAGGATCCACGTGGCAGAGCTTTTCATGGCAGAGTGCTCTAGAATGGACAGTGGCTCTGGTGGTGCCAGGGTGTCACAAGGAGGTCTCTGTCTGTGGTGGAGCATGTTTGTGTACATGCAGAGAGCAGGCCGTGTTGAAGCTCTGCACTCCTTTCCAGTGTCTCTGGAAATACATGGCATCAGGATGGTCAGGAATGTACCCATGTGCATCACAAGAACAGGATCTTAGTAGATAGGCTCTAGCCAGCTCACAGATGCTCCATGACAAGCAAAAGCAAGCAGTGTCCTCGTGTGTGTCTAAAAGAGCAGGGAATCCTTGCCATAGTGCAATAATGGAGCAGGTCAAAAGTGCATTTCCTGTGAGGCTGGTCTGCAGGACCATAATGCCATAATACCTCTGAATGGGGCAGGAGGGTGCACAGAAGAGACTGAAGAACAGAGAGATGGGAGGGAGGGTGGTGACAGATCATACTTAGGAAGGGCCCAAAAATGAAGCAGCAGAGAAGAGAGTCCAGGTTTCTCTTCATGTAGCCGCTGCCCATCTCCGTCTGCCTGAGCATCTGTGCCTCGTAAGGCCACCTGGCCTGTCACCCTGTACAAGTGTCACTGACTCCCAAGCAAAGCTCTGGCCCTCCTTCCACAACAAGCAGGCCTCAGCATTCTCTATCCTCATGCCAGGTCAGCCCTGTTCAGTTCTCATTCTTCCACTCACACTTTAACGTTTGGATGTTTGTTTGTTTCCTTGCTTGCTTGTTTGGAGACATAGTCTTACTGTGAGGTCCAGGCTGGACTCAAACTTGCAGTCCTCCAGCCTCAGCCTCCCAAGTGATAGGATTACTGGCATGCACCATTGCGTGCAGCTACACTGTGAACTTTAAGGGCAGAGGCTCAAGCTGGCCAAGTTGTCATATTACATTCTAGAAAGATCACATCAGGCTGACACAGCTCTTCTGTCACATAGTTTGGTTTTGGAGATGAATGTGAACCTGGGGTTGAGGTAGGCATCTCCCCTTATGTCAGAGGCGTCCTCTGTTCAGTCTCCCAGAAAGTCCTAGGGCTCCCAGTGACCCAGTAATGAGCCTGTAGTTCATGAAAGGTTAGAATGGGTTGGTAGGGCTCCCTAGAGCACCACCCCCAGTCCCATCAAACCAGAAAATGAGACTTCCCTGGGCTTTTAAAAGCCAGTTAGTACATATTGGGTCTCCTTCAGGGTCTCAAGGGTATTGCTTTTTTTCCCAAAAGGAAAAATAACATATTTGGTCCCCTATCTCACCCCTAATCTGTTCCAAACTAGAGAACCTTTAAGAGGAAAACTCCCAAGAATTTACTTAGTCAAGAAAATTGGATTCTACTATATGGAATATGGGTCAGGGTGGGGAGCAGAATCAGGAAAATATACAGACCTGCACAGAATATTCAGTTTGTTTCAAAAATGGTTTGGGTTGGTTTTGGAGCTGTTTTTGTTTTTGTTGTTGTTGTTGTTGTTGGTGGGGGGGGGGTTAATTTTGTTTTGTTTTTTGAAAGTGAGTCTTCCCATGAAGTTCAGCCTGGCCTTGAACTCTTGGTGATCCTCCAGTCTCAGACTCCCAAATGCTGGAATTACAGGCATGCACCACCATACCTGGCTTGGATTTGGGTTCTGAGTTGCAGCTTGGGTATGTTAACGGAAGCAGAATTGAGCTCCCTCAACTGAAGCCTCCATGAGCTTCTTCAGCTCCTCCTGCCCATGCTGTGCCCCTTAAAGACACCTCACATCACAGGTGGGCAGAGACACCTTCCTCATTCCCAGGACATAGAGCACTGCCACGTGAGTGCTGTGCTCACCAGCTGCACCAGCTGCCCCAGGACTGTCGTCACCAAAGCAGAATGCTCTCAGGTTCTCAAGTGTTTGGTTACTCTGATTTTATTATTTTTCTGACCTCTCTAACCAGCAGTGATTGAGACTCTGATGGTAGGGCCTGTATTTTTTTTTTTTTCCGTATTCTATTTTTATACTTTGAAGCTGCGGTTATGAAATCTACTCTCAAAAACATTGGTTCGTAACCCCCAGGGACCCAGGAAGTGACCCCATGCTTGTCGGGCTGCACCACACAAGTAGCCCTTCCTCTGTCCTTGCTCACCCAGCCCTCCTGGAGGAACAGCAGGGTAGGAGCTGCTGTAAGAACCTGGGCTGGACAGGAGAGGGCTTCTGGCCAAGCTTTTAGGTTTGACTCTTCAGAAACTGTGGATATTTTCCTGGTGGCTTCCCAGGCACACGGGGAGGGACTCAGGGACTCAGAACCCTCAGAAGCAGAATTCTGGGCCCCAGATAAAATGCTCTTTATCCCCATGCAGGCTGTTGTCCCAAAGCCTCTTCCTCCCCAGCCCTCAGGAGCTCCTGTTGGCGTCAGCTCTGAGCAGTTGGGGATAAAGTCCTTCCAAAGTCCTGGCCTCGGCCCCTCCCGCTGGCCCGTGGTGTCTCTTTCCCCGTGCTCCTCCCCCCCCCCCCCCAGCCCAGAATAGATCTAGGAATCGCCTGTTTGTTTCCACCTTGGCCACAGTCTCGGCCATAAATCTTAGATTGTTTTCCATCTTTGAAAAAGCCATTTCTATCAGCAAGTCATTATTCACATGTGAGGGGCAGGAAAAAGTTCACCAAATTTCAGGCTTCAACTTCTCTTCACACTGTTTCATAACTTCCACTCCACAAAAACCACAGCCTTAAAAAAAAAGGGTTCCCGATAGGCAGTAGCCTGTGTGCCCATGACACAGCCTGCTGGACCAGGGCAGCCACTTGGGGAGAGTGGGTGGAAAGAGGAGAGTCGGGTCCCCTGGAGTGGGGTGGCCTGCCTCTTACCCCTGTGGGAAAACAGCCCAGAATTTCAGAGCACTGAAAACCCACTGTTCTTATTTTAGAGCAGTGGATTTGGGGGTGGAGATTGGGAGAGACAAGAGTGATATTTATAACGAAAGCCTTGACTTAGCTGTAAACTAAAAATGAAGATATAACTAATGGACCAGGACATACCTCAATTCTAGCTAAAAGAAAGATGAATGGAGAGGGAAGTTGGAACAGATGGGAAGCAAAAGGAGGAGTGGGGTAAGGAAACAGACTCGCAGGCAAGGATGTGGCTGTTTCTGTCTTTCTGGTTCTCATCCTCCACATGTTGGCTTTTTGACTTTAGGCTTGTTCTCATGCTTACAAGAGGGCTATTGAACCTCAGATGTCATCCTAGCCTTCTAGCTAGGAAGAAAGGCAAGAACATAAATTTTTCTTATCATTCAGTTCTTTTTATCCATGAAGAAAAACTTCTCAGCCCTGGGCATGTATCTGTGTGCTTGCTATGCCAGATCTTGGTACAGGGTCATCTGAGCTTGAAAGGTGGCCTAGAAGAGAATGTCATGCTGCAGTGGATGAGACCAGGCCAGACCCACCTAGAGCTGCACTCATTACCTCTCGGCACAGCAGGACTCTGTTAGGGGCCGGCCGCTGAGTGGACAGCTGGGAAAGGGGCGGGTGAGTGCCTTGTCAGATGGGGAACAGAGCAATACGAGGACTCCATAGCAATTGCCGGAGGATGTGGGGATGGGGCAGACACAAAAGCTAAAACTGGAGGTGGCCGATGGCTGGGCTCTCTGCAGGGCCCGTATAGGCTCTGAGCAGAGCTGTGCAGAGGTGAAGAAGACATACCACATGGAAGTGGGAGAGCCACAGGGACTTTCTCATTCCTGTACGAATACAGGACAGCTGCAGATCTTACTGAAATGCAACGTGAGTCTGTAGGCACAGTAGGGCACAAGATCTGTATTTCTCACAAACACCCAGGAAACTCCAAAGGGACTGAACCAGGGACCATATGTGGAGCAGCAAGACCTAAAGGGTCTCATGGGAAACAAATGTTTAAATATGTTTTTAAGCATTTTAAAGTAACTACTGGTATACTTGAAATAGGTATTCAGGCTTACAGGAAAGTAAAAGAAAGAACTTTGAGGTTAAACTTTTTTCTTTTTAAAGGCAAAATCTGATACAACTTTTGGTGATCATGATGTCTTGTAACAGAAAAGCCAGTGATTCAGACACAGTGGAGGAGCCCAGGCTGATTGGTGACTCTTGGTCATGCGGGCCCCAGGCCCCAGATTGTTGTGTCTTTCTCATGTCCTGAGCATGAATGTGACTTCCGTCTTCAAGGTCACCACTTGTCCAGGGTGGCTGCTACAGGCTTTAGCCATACTGTCCTCACTGCAGATGAGAACAAGGAAAAGAGAGTTTGAACCCTCCTCCCTTTTAGGAGCTCTCCCAAAGTTCCGTGGAATGGTTTATCTCTCATTGGCCATAGCAAGGCCGTATTTAGCTGTAAGCTGCAGAGAAATGTGGTCTTTGGGTCTGAGCACATTACCTGGGATTCTCTTACTAAGAAAGAGGGGAACGCATCCAACTGTATAGCACTTTGATACAAAAGGTCACCTTCAAAAACATGCAGTTCTTGGAAATAAAGCAGTATAGACAACTATTCCAGGCAAATGGCAACAGAGACAAAGAAGGGATAGTGTTACGTATGGCAGAAATCAGAGATGATCAAAGTGGGTTCTAACAAGTCACGTGGCTTGTGGCCAGAGGGGATTATCATAGATTCAGGATACTCAAGGAGCGAGCAGGCTGAGGAGTTAGAGGTTTGCTTCTAGGTTCAATTCACCAGCCCTGGGGAAAAGAAGGGAATAACATGAACGAATGTCACAGGGAATCCATTTATCAGATGAAGTACATTAACCACATAGTGGGTTTCAAAATAATTAAATTTGCTCAATTAGGATGGAAATGGACATCTGTGGAAAGTAAGATGTGACTGAAGTTTTGAGATGTACTTTTATAGGAGCGGTTCTTTGGAGGAGCCAACCTGTCCTCTCTGCCACAGTGGACATCAAGCTGACATGTGAGTCTCCATGCTAGAGGGCTATGTTGATGGACAAGGTTCTAAGCTGCAAGGCTAACAAGCATGACCCTGTCACAGCCTGAGCTTTTGGTGGTCAGAGAGACAGCTGGCAGTGCCACCTATCACAGAGTATGCCTTTGGTCTTAGGAGAAGCAGCTGATAAAGAGCAGCCTGCCACAGCCTGAGCTCTCAAAACAATGGCCAGAGCTTTGAACCTCTATGTATTTTGATGTTCAGTTGAAGCCAGTAACTCACATCCAGGGTCTCTGATAAGTCTGATGTCACCTCCCTCAAGAAAAGGGGCACTTACTACTGGTTCTGACATGAAGTCTCATGAGATGCATGGAAGGAATTGGGGACACTAACACCAAAGTGTCATGTAGCAGACCGTGTCAGTGTGTGGCAGCCTTCCGGTGCTATGTGAGTGGCAGGGACCGTACTGGCAGTAAGTGTGAAGATGGGCAGCAAGGGAAGCATTGGATAATGATGAAAGAAATGACCCATACGAAGCTGTGGCAGACACACATCCCTACACACCAGGCAAAATAACATCAAAGTTTGCCTAAAGCACTGTAAGAAATACTAGGAAAAGTTATTAAAATTATAGTCATAGTAGGATAATCTAACCTACCTTTCTCAGAATTTAAAAGGTGAGGTAGACAAAATATAAATATAGTTATAAGGAATTTGAGTTCCATATTTTAAGCTTGGTTAGGTGTAAGCCTTTTGCTTTACAAATAGAAAACAAATACCCATTTCAAACAGCTACATAACATTTACAAAAACTGATCATATTTTAGGTCACCTAGAAAATTTCAATTTCACAAAATAGGAATCTTTGTAGGCCTTGTTTCAACCAAATTGCAAGCACATGAGAAATCTAAAGTGAAAATATAACAACAAAAGGCCACAAACATCTAAGTAAGTTGTACAGTAACATAAAACTAAAGCCTCCTTTGGGGCCCAAACAAATGAATATGCTTATCAAATATAAGTAGTTGCGCCAAGCACAGTGGCATATCTCTGTAGTCCTAGCTACTCAGGAGCCTCAGACAGAATTGCTTGAGCCAAGGAGCTCAAGGCCAGCCTGGGCAACTAACCAAGACCTCATCTCAAAAAAAAGATTTAAGTGTATAAAGCTGTCCTCAGAGGAAAACTTACAATATATTAGATAATTAAATTGTTAAAAGAAATGGACGTTAAAAAAAGAATTTTGAAAAGAAAAAAAAAAAAAAGAATTTTGCCAGAATATAAAACAGTTTTTTAATTTAAAAAAGAAATAGACATGAGCAATACACATTTTTTTAATGCTTATCCTCACTAATAATAAATGCCAGCTAGAACATCAGTGCCTTGTCATTTCCCTGCATCTTACTGGCTCAGAAGAGAAAATTAAACTCAGTTGTTAGAGCTGTGTAGGAGCAGGCAAGATCAAACCTGGGTGGAACTGAAACTGTGAACCAGTACATTGTTAGGGGTGTAGTGTGCGTGGCAAGTTTAAATGCGAAGAGCAACTAAACCAGTAATTCCACTTCTGCTTGGCCTATAGAAATACAGGCACACATATGCAAAGACACGTGTACATGGCTATTCATTCGCACATTATTTAAAATAGGAAAAGAAGGAGCATTGTAAATATCTGCTAACAGATTAGATGAATAATTTTCTTATCTCTACACACTGTGCAGCAATTAAAAATAAATTATTACAAGGATGTAGTTCAGTGGCACAGGCGCCTTGCCTGGCAAGCACAAGGTGCTGAGTTCAACTTCCAGTACCAAACATAAAGGATTAAATCTGTGTGAAGTGACATGCAAAGGTAGTCAATCTCTTGTTACCTAAAAAAAGTGGCAGACCAGAATATCTGGAATGATTCCACTTGCAGCTATAATGGGAATTATTATTATGGGTAAGCACAGACTTTCGTACATCTGGAAAGCTGAACGATGCATTCCAGCTTTGGCCACCTCCAGGGGCCTGGCAAGCAGAGGAGGTTCATGAGCAGGAGGAGAGGCAGTCAGTGGATGGTAGGAGAGCGGAGCAGACAGTCACATGCTGTGTCTTGTAGCCAGCTATTGTACTTGTAGCCTCGCCAGTCTCCTCAGCCAGCATGCGTGAGTGAGGACTCTACGGGTTTGGAGCTGCTCTTCTTTGTTCAGCCCCAAGCCAGCCTCCTCTGGCCCCGCGGCAAGAGGCAGTGACCTTCACCCTAGGTCCTCCTCCGCAAGTGCTAGAGAACCTGCAGCTTTTAGCGGAGGGCCGCTTCATAACCTCACCCTCTGGCTGGTGAAATGGGCAGTCATGTCCCATGGAAAGCTGTAGCAGTTAAATTTAGTTTATTTTATAGCAGGACATGATGGCACATGCCTGTAACCCCAGCACTCTGAGAGACTGAGGCAGGAGGATCGTAAGTTTGAGCCCAACCTGGGCAACTTAGCAATACCCTGTCTCAGTATAAAAAAAAAAGAAAGCATGAGGTTAGAGCTCAGGCAGAGGCCCTGGGTGTCACACACACACACACACACACACACACACACACACACACACACAAGTAAACACCTAAAACTTAGCAGCTATGTTTGTTTGGGTGTCACAGATTCCCACAAGTTCACTTGTTACCGCAAACCCCAGAATCTTCCTAAGGCTCCACATGGACCACATTACCTCAGTCCCAGTGTGACTTTCTAGTTTCTGTAACCCTTGGCAGGACGCGGGAGCCAGAACAGTCAGCCCAGGGAACAGTGGGGATAAATGGCGGATGAGGGGGAAAATGTGAGGGTCAGCATTCCCCAGCTGCTGATTTCCATCCGGCTTTGTAAATCTCTGTGCTGCTTCACGCATTTCCAAAAGTGGCCTCAACTTGATTTCCACCTGATCCTCGCTGTAAATACTGGCCTGGTCCTTAAGATTAGTCCCCAAAGTTTTGTGGTCTCCAGTGTAGGGTTTCTAGATTTAGCAAATAAAAATAGGAAGCACCCACTACCACTTGAACTGCAGATAAGCAACAAATAATTTTTAGCTTAAATATGCCCCTGCCAATATTTGGGAATACTTGTACTAAGAAGTTACTCATTGTCTATCTGAAATTTAAAGGAAACTCAGTGTCTTGTGTTTAAGCCAGCACCCCTTTTCCAGTGGGCTGTGGTGGCTCTCTCATGCCACGGGGACACCCAGAGCTTAAGGAGGAGGACCAGCAGGAGTTGTGAGCAGTAGCTAGTCCCATTAATGAACGCTGTCCAGCGCAGCGCAGCCCAGCCCTCGGCCCTTCCTCCTCTGCTCCCTGCCTCTGAGCCCGTCCTCGTCTTGCTCTGGCTTCTGTCTGTTAGCCTCTGGCTTTCTGCCCTCTCCCCATTCCTGTTCTTCCTCATTTTGCTCTGATTGGTCCATAACATATAATTTAACATTTACATACTTTTAGTGTTGGTTATAGTTACTAAATAAGGTTATATGTTCCTTGCTGTGATGTAAATAGCAGGGGAATTTAACTCTGTGTGTGTTGTGCTTTTTTTTTTTTTTTTTTTTTTGATAAGTGACCTTAAGTTCATTTTTAGCCATGTGAATCATTGACCTTCACTTTGAGCAAGTAGAAAGGTCTCCCATATCTGGAATAAACTCACATGCACCGTCTAGAACACATGCCAACAGGAAGGGTAATGGAGTGGGATGCGTGGGGCAGTATAACATGAAGCAGACCTGATCTGAGGAGGAGGCTCAGAAGTCCTCTGTACCTCCCCAAAGCCTCGCTTCGTAGGACCAGGCCCACCTGACCATGGGGCAGTCCACCCCTCTTCTCATTGGGGTTGGTTACCTGACTTCCCGGCCAGAAGCAGCTCTAATAGAGAAGAGCGTGGTTTGTGGCCAAGGAATGGGGCCCAGGGGTCTTCTCTGTCATTCTCTACCTTTCCCGAGGAGCTGAGACACCAAGGAAACTCCAGGCTTCCTCCCCCAAACGACAGGGTCTGGCAGTTTCCTGCTCCGCTCCTCAGGACTCTCCCTTCCTTTCCTTTCTCTTTCTGCCTTCGACCCTTACTGTCACCCATCAACAGATGGTGGGAGAGAGATACTTTCCCATCCAGGAAGGAGACCTCGTAAAGCAGTGCCATCCAGTTACCTGTGGGAAAAGGATACGTGCCCGGGAATCAGGGCTCACTGCTGGGTATGAACTCACTGGTGCCACTTTGGCCTCAGTTTCATCATGTCTAAAATGCGGGTAGCCACACACCCCACAAAATGTTTATTAAAATATAAAATAGAAGCAAATGCCAAAAATGAACAAGATTCTGTCCCTAGCCCAAATTCTAAATGGTAAATATATAAAAGCAGAAATGCTATTTATTGTAGAATCTTCTTTATCCACCAGATAACAAACCTTACTGTTGTATTTCTGGAGGAGTCTTTTTATTCCTTCTCTCATGAATCCATGAACATCTGAGTGTGCTTTCCTATGTTTTCTTTCAGACAGAGAAGAATGTACAATAAACTAAAGGAACAGATGTTTTCATATGTTTCAGTATAAAGGCATTGGTTCGCTGGAGATTTTGCCTTAGGCTGGGGATATAGCTCAAAACTAGAGCACTTCCCTAGCATGTGCAAGGCCCTGGGTTCAGTCTGCACTACCACAAACAAGTGAATAACCAACCTAATAGTTTGTGCCTGAGGCAAGATATCTTCTTGACCCTGTGAAGGAGGTAGCTGCTTGTTGAGGGTTACACTTGCCAGTTGACCATAGTCACAAAGGATTTTGGACCCACTGTCTCACCTCTGATGCCAATGAAGTAATACCTCACCCATCCAGAGCCTTGCTAAGGAAAGTGCCGCCAGCCGTACAGTAAGTACCCAGGCCTTTCTCAGGCAGGGAGCCTACCAGTGAGTAAGGTGAGAGAATCTGAGTTGCCCCGAGTGTATGGGAAACTGATGCTTAGGGGCCATAGCATGCTGACTCCTGTACTTGGGCAGAGCTTGTACATTCCCTTGGTCACCGCCATTGGGCCTCCAGAAGGCGGAGCTTAGCCAGAGCCCTCTCTGCGCAGTGGCTGGGCGGCCAGGCTGCTGTCACCTTGCAGTTCTGTTCAGTCCTTTGCTTCCCAGAGCAGCAAGGCAGTGAAAGCTCTGAAAATCAGCCACACCCATGGAAACGCATGTCATCAGGGGGAGAAGGCAGGAAAGGATCAAAGCCACCTGTAAGCCAGGAATTCCTCAGCAGCTCTAGTCCCTTCATAATTATGGTTTGGAGATTTGCCAGAAGGCAAAACCACTTAGCATACCACATTTAACAATTAACACTTTTCTGTGTTCATAATAGTCCCTGTGCAAAGCAAATAGGCACCTTGAACAAAAAGTAGGGTATTTATATATGTGTCCAAAGCAGCCTGCACCTAACTTAAACCTAAACCTGTTTACAGGGAGCACTGTGTATGACTTGGCACAGGCGCCCACAGTATGAGTGACTTGGAGAAAGACCACAAACTGCTCCCATTTCCTAGGCTTCAGAAAAGTTTTAACTCAAAATTGCTTACAGTTACTTACTACCCAACTTTTCCCACTCTGGATAATTTTGTTTTTTGGTTTTGTTTGTTTTTAAAGGGAAAAAAAAAAAAACACAAAAAAGAAAAACAAAAAAATGAGGCTTACAAACAACAAGAACAACAAAAAACCCAAAATAACAACAATGTAGGCTTTCAAAACAAGATGATAGGAATTTAACAGTGGTTGTTATATGGCATATTGTTATCTTCAAAAGAGTTGCTTAGATTACCAGGTATAGACATGCAAAATTGATCTTATTCTGGTTAATTTTTAACTTTGGGGTTTTTTATTATTTTGTTTCATATGTCTTCTGACATTGTAAAACTCCAGGAGGCAGGGAAGCTTGGTGGGAAGTGCTGCCCGTGGGGCAGAAGCAAGAGTTTGGAGCTGTGGGAGGCCAAGAGAGCAAGCTCAGTGCCCAGAGCGAGGACTGTGAGCCGGAGGCACATCTCGGCCTCAGATTGGAGCATTTTCGCTCTCAGAGTCTGTCAGAGAAACCTTGGTCATGGGGGACAGTAGAGGAGAATGGCTGCTTGGAGGAGAGTTTCTTAGAGCTGAATCTGAAAGTAGTCACATTTCCAGGGCAACGACTAGAAAAATGAAGAGCCTTCCAGGTGTGTGGAGTTCAGGAATGAGTTGGGATGACACCAGCCTCAGTGCTAGAGTAGGGCAGGGAGAGACGAAGCCAGGGAGAAAGGCAGGCCTTTGGACAGAGCAGGACCCTTTCAGATGCAGAGGAGAGACAGACCCGCCTAAACTTCATAGGCAGTGCTGAGGGCCACCTTGGGTCTAACAGAATTCTGGAGGTGGGGCTGACTTAGACAAACATAATTCAAGGGTCAGGTCCTGGGGACCTGGTTTGTTTTATTTTTTTTTATTTTTTATTTTTTATTTTTTGTGGTACCGGGGATCAAACTCAAGACCTTGCACTTGCCAGGCTGGTGCTTATGCCACTGAGCTAAATTGCCAGCCCCTGGGACCTGGTTTCTTGCCATGTCTTCCCTCTGCTCCTAAGCTGGTTGTATTTTCAGATAAGCTCACACTTCCCGTGGAATTCAAGACAGCCACAGCAGTTCCAGCCGTACATCTTTATATGTGAGAATTAAGTCTGTATCGGTAAGGTCCCATTGCATTTTAAGGGCTCCAGTCCAGTTCCAGGCTCAACCTTTGGACTAAACTCAGAGGCAAGGCATATAATGCCTCGCTCGGTTTAGACCTGAGGTGGGTGCCCATGCCTGCAGGTGGGGGTAGGACGAGCCCTACCCAGCCACATAGACTGAAAGGTGGAGAAGGACTGTGAGACACAGTACCTAACACTTGGCTCACAGTTTGTAGAATCTTCAGTAATAGTCCCTGGCTCCAAAATGGGACCGCATGGCAGAGGAAGATTGGCAGGGAAGCAGAGGGAATGAAGGGAGAAGCTGGGGAGGGAGATAAACTCTTCCAGGCTACACCCTCATTGCCTCAAACCAAACCCCATCTTCCAACAGCAAGCCAGCTACGACACCCCCATAACACGAAATCACCTTCTGAAGGGCCTGGCTGTGGTTACATGAGGCTTTACGGGCACATTGGGAGATAAGCCATAACAGGTTGCTTCTCCAGAGAAAAGTGGGGTCCAGCTATGCACAGAAGGGCGAATGAAAGCTGGGCTACAAAAAACAACAAATGGGGGCTGGGGATTTAGCTCAGCGGCACAAGCACCTGCCTTGCAAGCAGGCGGTCGTGAGTTCGATCCCCGGTACCGATAAAAATGAAATGAAAAAAAAACAAAAAAAACAAATGTCCACTAAAACTTGGACTGCCCCACCAAAGAATCTGGATTTCATTTGCATTCAAGAACCCATAAAGATTTTTGAACAAATAAGTAACATAATTAGAGCTATGCATTAATATTAATTCAGCTACAGTTAAATAGCTACCATGTGCTTGATACAAGTAGGGGCTTAATAAATACTGAATGAATAAGTGAAAACAGAAATAAATGGATGGGCTGAGGAGGAAAGAGGAAGGCAGGGAAGCATTATTGGGAGAACAATGGAATAGTTTGGAAGAAAAGCAAGCAAAATAAAGACCCATCAAGAAAACCAAGAGGAGCCAAGGCTTTGTGGCACACACTTATAATCCCAGCTGCATAGGAGGCTGAAGCAGGAGAATTACAAGTTCAAAGCCAGCCTGGGCAACTTAGAGAGACCTTACCTAAAATTTAAAAAAAAGTATGGGTATATGTTTGCCATATCTAATATGTACATATGCTTTGGGAAATTGGTACGTGTGCCATATGATATCACAATCGTTTTCAATCCTCTTTTTCTCCTCTTTCCCCTCCTCTTTCCTCTTCCCCTAATCTCCTACCTCATCTCCAAAGTCAGAATGTTAAAATGGAGATGTAGCTCGGTGTAGAGCACTTTCTTAACGTGTATAAGGCTATGCGTTTGATCTCAAGAAGCATAAAAATAAAAGGGCTCCACTGCCGTAACACCCACACAGGGAGAAGCCGTCATGAGGGCAGGGTGGGTGACCAGGCCGGACACTGTGCAGACTGGTCATGCAGGATGGGGAGTGAGGAAAAGGTCAAAGAGAGGGGTTCCGAAGGTTCAGTAAGGCAGTTTATAAACTAACTTCCAGGCGCTGAAAAGCCTGAGATGAGCCAAGAAAAGGCCCAGCTGTGGGCTCCCATTAGCTCCTCCGCTCGGCGTCTTAGGCGTCCTCCAGGCCTTTGTCCAGCCGTAATTCCTGTTTCCCCCCTTGTGTTTCTAGCCTATTTTTCCTCCCCCTCCAGAGGCTCCTTCTTCTACAAATATTTACATTACTCTTTGGCCCCCAAACCGCATGTCCTAGACTCTGCTCAGCCTTCAAGCTAATGTTTCAAAAGAGTCATCGGAGAAATGTTGAGGGCAGGGAGAACGGAAGTTTGAGCTTATGTTGGACGTCCTCTGTAGAAGACAGAATGATCCGTAAGAATGAGTGGCCAATGAGTAGGATACAGAGTCAGGAAGGAGGTAGGAGCAGTTTACATAGGGGTTCGGTGAGGAGTCACCAAAACATGAATAGAAGAATTGCTAGGGAGCAACAGGAGTCTGTCTAGCTAGGATTACATAGCATGAAATGATGGAGAGGCTCATCAGCCTTGATCATCTGGAATTGGCTAGGAGTAGAAGAGTCGATTAGGACAGGAGAGTGGTGACAAGGCTCTCAGGCCTGGAGCCGGGAGCCTGGCTGTGTACAGAGAGGCAGCAGAAGGAGGCAGAGTCAAAGATGTGGGGATTACGGGAGGGCAGCGCGGTGGAGGTGGAGGAGGCATTGGCCGTGTTAAGAATCCTAGAAGGCCATGTGGTGTAGGAGCTGTTGTGTACACAAGGTGTGATCAAAATGTACAGTGAATGTAAAAGATGCATTGCTATTCGCCACAGAATGTTCCCCTCGCTTCAAACATGCTCGTCCCATCATTCTGGCCACTTCCAAAGCTCTTCCAAAGTTCTGGACGTCCTCTTCCTGCTCTTTGGTTCTTTGGTTTTGGCAGCTCATGGCTGTTTTGATGTCTTGAATCAGTTTAAAACATTTACCTTGCATGGCCATTTTGACTTTGGGAAAGAGCCAAAAGTCGCATGGTGCCAGGTCTGATGAATAAGGTGGATAAGGACACACAGTGACAGAAATTGCCATAGACACTTAAAAACATGGGGTGACCATAAAATACAGTGAATGTTTACATTTAAAAAATTATTGCACTAAAAGACACCTTGCCATTAATCCTCAGAGTAGTCAAAATACTTCCCTTGCTTAACACACATTTATCTCATTGCTTATGAAAGTATATCTTTTACGGTGATTTTTTAAAAATTCCAAACATTCATTATATTTTTGATCTCCCACTGTAGACGAGGTTTAAATCCCAAGTCTACCTTGGTTAAAGCCTATTTTGTGTGTACATATGGCACTGAGACTTGAACCCAGAGCTTCACATTTCACTGCATCCCCAGTTCCCCTACCCTTTTTTTCAATTTTGAGACGAGGTCTCTCCAAGTTGACCAGGTTGGACGTTGGACTTGCACTTGCAGTCCTCCTGCCAGCCACCCAGAGTGCTGGGTTTATAGGCAGGTGCCATCATATCTAACTATAAAGCCTTTCATAGATGATAATTAATACATGTGAAACACGATACCACCTCAAAAATGGGGAACAATAAACTTTGTGTTCATTTCTAAGTGACATGAAACTTAGAATTTGAGCTGAGTGGAAGTAATAGTAAGTACCGACAAGTTCTCAGATGTCGTAACACTTATTGGGAGAAGGGGGAAGCTGGAGATGAAGAATGTTGGATGAGGAGACTGACGAATGGTAAAACCAAACCCTGGCAGGGACATCTTTATGGATGCTGAAGTCACCAACGGGGTACTGGGTGACTCTGAGTCTTGTGAAAGGCCAGATCTGTAGCTTGGATTGACAAATGTGGGAGGGAGGCCATTAGAATGGACTTCAAAGGAAAGGGTGCCCAGAAGTGGCCGCAGGAGTATGCGGTCTGTCCAAGCCAGGGACAGAGGGAAAAAAGGGACAGCCACAACTGGAAGGTTAGAGTGTGGTGGCTTCTGCCAGGAGGAGGGAAACAAGGAAAGGCTAAAAAACATACAGAGTGAAAAACATAAAGAATGTGCTCACAACAGAATAAATTTTAATTGAGAAAAGCAGTTTTTCAAAACAATTCTCTGAGTGTGCGTGCTGCAGATCAGAGCCAGGGCTTCGTGAGCGCTAAGCGTGTGCTCTGTTACTGAGCTGCACACACAGCTGGCTTGTAACTCATGATAGCTCTTAAGAAAAACTACTGCGTGAGCCTGGGGACGAGTCTGAGTAAAGCTGGAAAGGGTGTTAGAGCAGATCCCCGAGAAAGCTGGTTGGGGGAGCCTGTCCCTTCGCCTTAGGTGTAAGGTGTGTGACGGGCAGGCTGGCTCAGGCCTGTGGGCAGGTGCTGGCCATGCCCCACCGGACATGAGTCCCAGAAGGCCCCACCCGTTCCCTCTGGGGGACACACGGTTCTGCACTATTTCCCAGGTGAGAACCACTCTGCAGCTGACAGCAGAGGGACTGGGAGAGATGAGATGGATCTGGGGGCTTTTCTTTTAACAAGTGGAGAGCAGAGCAGCAAATGGCCTTAGAGGAGAGGAAACAGGACACCAGCCAGCTTCGTGACTGCCTTCTCTTCCAAGAGCCTGCTCTGTAATGTAATTGTATTCGGACATTTTTTTTGCATGATGTCAGGGAATACGCTCCCTTAAAAGCTTTCATGAAAAAGGCACAACTATAAAACAGACTCAGGCAAAGAAATGGAAACCAGATGAGTGGGTGTGTGTAATTTGGGTAGAGAGATTTCTCTTTGCAGCTTTGAGATCCGATCTCTGTGCTCCGCATAGAAGTCTCTTTCACAGGATCCATTTCCCTGTGAGCCTTACCACGCAGGACTGCAGAGCAGACACGGAAAGCTGTGCTCCGTTACTGAATGAGATGAGGTGCAGCAGCCCCTCTCCCCCGTGGCGGTGGTGCAGGCCACCCTCCTGGCTTGCAGCCATCTTGGTCTCCCACATCCTGACCCTCTTACCCTGTGTGAGTCCCGGCCCTGGCAAACAGGAGAAGGCTACCCCTCCTTCACTCTTGTTTTCTTTCTTTTTGCAGTGAGATTGAACCCAGGGCCTTGCACATGCTGAGCAACTACCCTACCACTGAGCTCCATCTCAGCCGTATTTTCCTATTCATTCACCCAGTGATAGGTGGACGCTGGCGTTGTTTGCACCTTCTGAGTGTTGTAAAAAGTGCTGTTATGAACATTCACATCTAAGTTTTGCTTTGGGTATTAGTTCTTTTGGGCATGTACCTAGGAGTAGACATGTAGGCATTATGGTAATTCTCTTTACTTTATGAATCTCATGAAAGAGGCCTTTCTTGCTGGACACCATCCCTAGGTTTGCTGTGACAAGGAAGAACAGATATGTCTCATCCAGGAGAGTTAACACCTTGTCCCCATTCTGCCAGATCTGGAAAGAAGCTGAAAGAACAAGGCTGAAAAATTAGGAGTCTCTCTGACAATGGGTAAGGTCACCAAAGATGTGCTGATAATCACAGGAAAGACAGTCTCGATGGGGTGGGCAGGAGCTGGGTGTGAAGAAGATTCAGGGCCACTAGAAAAGATCTGACTAAGGCAGTGGAAGGACTTAGCAAGAGAGGGCTCAATGGCCAGGGATGAAGGAAGATGTAACCCTAGACACCCGTGGCTGACACAGCCAAGCCACTGATGGGGGAGTGAAGTCAGAGACCAAGAGGCCAGGAACTGGGTGGAACTGATTTTCATACTATGCCAGGAGGGACTTGGGCTTAGTAGAGCCACTGAGGCCTTTTAAACTGAGGCTGGCTGGGCCAGAGGTGTTCTGGCAAAGTGTCCTTATTGTAGGGTGGAGGACAGCCCGGAGTCAAGGTGGTGCAGCCAGGCAGCCAGGAGGCTGCTCTCAGAGCATGAACCAAGGAGTGCTGGTGGACGTGGAGCAGGGACACAGCTGGGGGTGGGGCACAGTCACTGCACAAGAGGCGAGGCGAGGGCAGAGGACAGGTGCCACTGAAGGGAAGGGGCGCTCCAGGAAGCAGCAGAAGCAGGGGCTTTGATGAGCTCGTGGAGAGCTCAGGGCTCTGCGCACACCACCAGGAGACGCAAGCCAGGCAGGGGGCTGTGGAGGCAGAGCCGGGCTTCCTGCCTGTGTGAGGACTAAAGCGTGGGGCTTCCCGCCTTCCCTTCCTTCTGGCGGCTGATGTGTCAGGATGAAGCTGGTGTGTTTGACCTGGAGGACGTAGTCACTACACAAATACAAACCTCTAATCGGAATTATGCAACATAATTACTTTTCCTCAAGAAACTGTTTTCCAGTGTAACTCCCATCAGGCCAGTTTAATTCCTTGACCAATCTTCTATAGAGTGTGATTAAATCATTTTTTATATTCTCCCTTATTTTCTTAGGCAGCAGTTCTTTTATGGGTAATTTTCCCCCCCACTACTAGGGCCTCACACATGCTAGGCAAGTGCTCTACCCCTGAACTACCTCCCACCCCTAACCCCATGTGTAAATTTATTTATTAAGACAAAGTTTTATTGCTGTTTCTAGTTTTGTGGGGCTTTTCTTTCTCTCTTTTTCCCTTTCTTTTAAAACAAGTTCCTCCTATTATTTCAGGCTGACCTTAAACTCACTAATACACAATCCAGGCTGGCCAAAGTGATGATCTTCCTGCCTCAACCTCCCAAGTGCTGGGATTACAGTTGTGCACCACCGCACCTTGCTAGACTTTTGTTTTTGTTGGTGAAAATTTTTAGTCAATGAGTTTTACCATGCCCAGTATTACACTTTTTCAGTGTTATTTTTTGTGTTTATTTCCCGGTCACAAATTTCCCTAAGTGGTGTTATTATTTGGAGTTTTCAATGTTACTAACCGAATGGCTTCTTCAGTTGTTACCAATTTTATCATGTGCTATTTTCTACTAGTAACATTCAAAGGAAGGTCAAAAATAACTTCCTTCTCCCCTGACACCCTCCCTGGCCTACCCCCAAGGACAAGCTGAGAACAGCAGTGCTTGAGCTCAGTGGACATGGTAGACATGGGTCTGCCTGAAAGCTTTCCTGCAGCAGTTGGATCTTTCTTGATGTTTAATTGGCTGGAAACCCAGTGCCTCACTGCTTCCTTCCAGCCTCTGAGTCATCAGCTCTGCCATAACTCTTTTGGTTGGTTTGGTTTTTGAGACAGGGTTTGGCTATGTAGGTTCAGGCTGGCCTTGAACTCACTTACAGCCCCTGCTGGCCTCAGACTGGCATGAATGAGCCTTCTGCCTCTGCCCCCAGCTCTAGCTTGTTCTTGAAAGAAAGGCTTTTGTGTGTTGCACTCTTTCCTGCCCTCACCCCAGTCTTCTCTGAGTTCAGCCCCTAACTTCCTGAGGAAGTGGCTTCCCAGGCCGTTGGGAGGTGGACAGTAACTCCAGGGCAGCTCTGGGGACTGCTGACCACAGGGAACAGAGAGAAAGGCTCTGGAGAGTCTGGCCGTCAACTCAATTTCCAGACAGAAAACTTCTGGAGCGGGGAACATGGGGAGCCCCAAGTTCCCATCCCCAGAATCGGAAGAAAATTTCCAGAAAATTTGAAATTTTAAGCACTTAACATTTTGAGGACTATTTATAGATCTTAAAAGTAATTTTTGAGTTTAAAATTCATAACAATGTTTCAGTCAACAACAGAGTACAGATCATTATCGCCTAGTGATGTCATAGCCATCCTAGTTTGTGTAAGGCCGCTGATGTTCACACAATGAAATTGTCCAACCAAAACAATCCACACTATTAAGCGACACATGACTACCTTGATTTCTTCTTCCATGACCATGTAGTATGTTTATTCTGCACTACGCAGCCTGGAGGTCAGGGGGTGCCTATAAGGGAACTGTCTAGATTCTCTATTATGTGGTCATACATGGTAATAGTAAAGTCCTCAGAGGAAGAAAAATCCCCTCCTGAACTTAGCTGATTGTAATTCCCAGCCCTCAGTTATACCTCAGGACCACCTGCCACTGCCTCCACACCTTCCATCCTCAGGCCCAGCAGCCCTGCTCCTGAGCTCTGTGCCATGGTCCATCCGTACGGGGCCTTATGCTCAGGACAACATTGTTGGAGTGAGTCGGGCATCTGGTTTCTTCCTGTCTCTCCTTTCAGACTCAAATAAATTCAAGAGTGGAGGGTAGGAGTAGGAGTCCCATCAGGTGACTGCACAAAGAATTCAGAAGAGCCAGTTAGTCTTACCCTATCAGCCTGAGAACTTCCCTGTACCAGAGAGAAGTTCCATTTCAAAAGACATGCAAGAAAACTTAACTGACTTCAGGGAACATCTCAAGATCTCTGGTCAAAGGAGGACAGAATGTATGTGCAGGGCTGCAGAACTCTGCCCAGGCTGAGGAGTGGCCGTCCCGAGTCACTCAGGCGTTAGACTTAGAGCCGAAGTAGGATTGCCTCTTCCAGAGCAGTGCCTTGCGGTGAGCGCTATGCTTACCATCCTAAGAGCTGCTGGGTGGAATCCTTGGGAGGCTCAGCAGGATGAAGTTGCCAAGGAGCAGGTCTGAGAGGCCAACAGCGCTTCTGCACCTTGTCCAGAAAGGCCTGACACTGTTCAGGGGCCAGAGCAGTCTACCAAATGTAGAAGCTCAGAGTGCAAGCCCAAGGGGTCTGGACTGGGCTCATTGCTCACCACAGCCCTGCAACGGCCACATCGCCCTTTAGTGGAACAGCCAGTGAAGTCCACTACAAGCTCAGGAGGCAACCGCAAGAAACAGGACAGACTATGGCACCCCAAATCTGATCTGACAGGAACACCCCAGTGCAGAAGCAGCTGGCCACCCTTTCCAGCTCCCAGCCTTAAAACACCTTGAAGAACCAAGGCTTTTACACACTCTTGTTGCTAGAGTATCTGACCTGCTCCTTATTCATTAGTGTGGTTGGAAATGAAAAAAATGGAAGTACTTTATGAGCATTTAGTTGAGTGTAGTATAGCCACTGTGATTTAATTTATGCATCCTTTTTCAGTGAAATATGGCGCTCCTGAATAACAAGTGCACATTTTGAACTTGTGTGAAGTGTTCATATTGGCTTTATCCATTTTTTAAATCAAGGGAGGAATAAAAGGTATTTACCTAGTGACTTCAAATGGACCGACATTTTTAAAATTATATTTAGTTATTAAGCTTGAAAAGAGTTTTTAAACATAATCTTTAAAATTAAAGCAAAGGCTTTGCTAGGGCAGTCTGGCTTCACAATGGGCCACCAAGAAAACCACAAATCCTAGGCAAGCATACATATTATGACACCCCACCGTACCTTTTCAGATCAAATGCTTTGGGAGCAAGACCTGGTGGAGCTTTTGGGAACCCTGAGCCATTTGTTCCATTTGAAAATAGCTACAAAATGAAGACAAAGAAAGTTTTTAATATTTGAAAGGCTTTTCCCCAAGTACTTCTAAAATTTCAAGTGAGGATGTTTTGTCTCCTCCCATCAGACCTAGAGACGTCTGCACCTCCAGACAGAACGGGTTCTGAGGCAAGCTGGCTGGCGGAAGGGGCTGCTCTGTGCGCTGCCTGCTCTCTGCCCGGAAGGCTGCGAGGGAAGGGTGGGGATAGGATTAACTCCAGGAAAAGAGACAAGAACCAAGCTCCTTAGCATCTGCCCTTGTGAACCTGGCTTCCAGACTGCGCCGAGAGCTTTGTCCATCTACCTGCTAGACCTGGAGAGACTTGAAGGGAGGGACTGTTCACAGCTGTGTAAGACCCTGGTAGGGTGAAGGCTCACCTGTGGTCCTGCTGACTCTGGCACAGGGGCAAACCCTTAGCCTCTGCCCATATGTGCCAATAGGCACTCTTCCTCTTCATGACAAAACTGTCTCCAGACAGAAGTCGTCTGGGGAGCAGCAGCATCTCTGCTGTAGGTGAAGGGAAGTGGCAGTGAGACTGATGCCCCAGGGACACAAAACAGTAGCAGCCACAAGCACCCAGAGCTGGGAGTGAGTGGAGAGCGGGAGGAGCAGGAGGGCTGCGCAGCAGTGCCTGGCCAGGGGGAGCACCGCTGTGAGTGAGGAAACCCCGATGGGGAAAGGAGCACCCCGCTCTCTGCCTTCTCTCCAGAGTCCCCTTCCAGGAGGTGACTCCAGCAGAAAGCCGGATGGCAAGGAGGTGCTGAGCAGGGCGCAGACGGGCAGAGAATGAGCCCAGCATCCATCCAGCCATCCATCCATCTGTCCATCCATCCAGAGCTTAGCAAAGTGATGCAGAAGACAGGCTCTGGAGTCAGAGCAGCTTCACTCTGATCTGACTCTTCCAGTCACTGTCTTCTGCATGATCCTGAGCAGGTTCCTTCTCTGAACCTCAGCAACCCTGAGTGTGCAATGGCAGTAAGAGATCTGTCTCCCCCTGCGACCCGACTCTCACCATCTAGGCGTTTTCCCACTAGAGAAAGACACGACACAAGTGAACTGCCTGTGAAGTTCTCTGGTAAACAGCTGATAACGGCCAGGAGCCCAGTGCTAATGCTATGATGGACAATACTGGCAAAGGACAGCCATGGGGTCGGGGGCCACAGACTGACCTCCTTCACCATCCGTGAACACCTAGAACGCTGTGCAGAGAAGAGCAAGAAAGATCAAGCAGGCCAGGAGAGATTCCTTCCAGCCACACCCCTGGCTAGATCCTGACGAACAGATAGGCCTAAATGAAGGGGAGAAAGAAAGGGCTGAGCTGTGGCTGAGTTGCAAAGCACCTACTTAGCACACTGAAGGTCCTGGGTTAAACCCCAGCTCCCACCCCCCAAAGTATACCAGATGGAAAGGCTGAGAGATCAGTGGAGGGTCTCAGGGTCAGAGTAAGGGAAGGGTCTTCCTCAGTACTTGCGTGTCCACAGGGGCCAGGCAGGGAGCACATCTGCAGATCGTGAGGTAAGGCCACAGGGTGTCCCAGACTGAGTGCACATCCGCCTTCAGTGGAAGATGCCACAGCTGTGCCCCTGTCAGACCTAGAGGCACTAGACTGTTTTTCTGGATTTTCAAAAGATGCTATAAATTAACATTAGTGTCACTAAAGTTGGTATACCACCCCCCCAACTGCTAAATTTGACTGGCTTTAATTAAAAAAAAAAAAAAAGATGCTATAAATGAGAATTTTTTTTTTTTTTTGAGATAGGGACTTAATATGTGGTTCAAGTTGGCCTTGGGCTCACTGTAGCCCAGGCTGGCCTCAAACCCAGGGTGATCCTCCAGCCTCACCCTCCTGAGTCCTGGGATTACAGGTGTGCACAATACCCAGGCTAAATGTGGATTTTTGTAAGAAATTCCCTAACCTGATCAGACAGCCTCTCATAAGCCTGAATACTTGGGAGGATGAGGCAGAAGGATCCAAAATTCAAGGACAGCCTGTCCAACTTAGTAAAAGGCCCTATCTCAAATTTTTAAAAAATACTTTTAAAAGGGGGTGCTGGGGATATAGCCCAGCAACACAGGTGCCTGCCTGGCAAGCACAAGGTCCTGTGACTTTGGTTCCTGGTACCCAAAAAAAAAAAAAAAAAGGTAAGAAAGGGCTGAGGTTTTGCTCAGTGTTTGATCCCTTGTACCATAATAAACAAATATTTCCTAATTTTGGAATAACCATGTGAACTACACCAAAGTGTGAGGACCAAATGATGCCACTGACCCTTTCAAAAGGCTTCTAACGGTTTCCTAGGGGCCTTAGCCCCTGTGCTGCCTATGTTTGGTTGGATACACCTGCATGTGTCATTTCTTTTTGTTTAAATTTTTATTAGCGTATGGTTTTTGGTTTCTTACTTTTTTCTTTTTTTTAATATGTGTTTGCAATGAATATATTCACTGTGGAATTTTGATTCCTATCTACATGGCATCTGAGAGGAAGAGAAAGTAAAAATGTGTTCTTTATTTTTAATATTAAATTTTAAAAATAGAATGGAGGGAAAGGAAGAGCAGTTTACATGGGCCCAGGGAAATCAGGGATCTAATTCCATGACTAGGCTCTGGATGGGGAAAGGCTGGTTCCTGGCAGCAAAAGCGTGGACAGAGATCCCAGGGCGGCCTACAACCCCACACATGTTGGGGTTAGGTCTGCCTTTGAGAGCTCTGACCAGCACATTTGGTTTTTCTCTGATGGTATTTTGTAAATATTCAGATAAAGAATGAGACAAACACCACAAGGTCCACCACCCAGCCCTCCTGCTAGGTCCTGGAAGGCAGGGCTACCCACCACTACCAGCATTCCTAGGACACTGGTGTTTTATCCGGCCGCTTGTCTCTAGTAGGTGCAACTGGGGTGCTCTTTGGTGGTAAAGGGTGAGCTAGTAGCATTGCTTGCTGAGAGCCACCTCCAAGCCCTGGGCTCCAGGTAGAGGAGGGCAAGGGCGGGTGGGGAGCAGAGGCTTCTAGCAGCCCTGAAAGAGCCAAGTGACAGAGCAGTGGATGAACCGAGCTCCACCTCCTGTTTGCTTCTCCTGACTCATTAAGATACAGGCTCTAGGGTTAGGAATGCAGCTCAGTGGTAGAGCACACACCTAACATCGGCAAGGCCCCCCAAAATAAAATACAGGCACTTGCCTGGCTGGGAGAAAGTGAAGTCCATGAAGTAGATCGGAAATAATAATGTTGTTTAGAAACAGCCTACAGGAACCTGAAAATGCTTCACTTAGGGAAAATAAAAAGGCCTAGTAATTCGCAGATTCAGTCAAACTCCACCTCGGCAGGGGCAGGGCACCCTGAGACCGCCCTCTGCCTCCCCCACAGCTTCCTCTTGGCCAGAGGTCCAGCCTTCGTGCTGCTGTGGTCCAGCTGCGCTGGGCCCTGTGTGCCCTGACCAGAGAGGCTTCCTCTCCACATAGCTCTCCCTCCTCTAGCTACCTACATTTGTTTTCCTTTTCTGTGCTTTCATTCTATCAATGGTAGAATTGGTCTCTGTCGTGCACCATCTTGGAGTGTTTTCTGACACTCCCTAGTTATCAGCTTGGCCCTAACTGAGCTGGGGCCTAGGATTTTCCTCAGTCTCTCACAGCCCCTCCCCAGTAGGTGACCAGTGAATACCTGTGAGTAGGGCTTATAGTGATGGCATGGGTGTTGAGCACATGGAGAGTTGGCTACCTGGCAGGGCCACCCAACACCCTGATCAGCCCCCTAAAGCCAAGGAATTTTCCACCTAAAATGAGGTTCTCTGGAGTTAGACGCAGAGAGAATTCAGCCCAGCGCTGCGCACTCGGCACTTACTGTGCTCTCTTGGGAAGGACTGAGAAGGAGACTCAAGCAATGGCCTTCACCTGGAAGGCATCTCCCCTGTGCTTCTTTAGCATCAGACTGGGCTATCAATCACCATCCAGAATAGTTTTCACACATGGAAAAAAGTGGGAAAATGTGGGCATACATTTTATTTACCTATTTAGCAGCTGATGGACAATATGGAAGCAATCCACACAGGCACTTTCACCTTAATCAGCACATTTGAAATTGACCTCAAAATGTGTGACTTATCTGTCTGCCTATCCAGAAGTTAATGATCACTTCCCTTGGGGCGGGGGCGGGGCCAACATGCAGGGGGCCTCTTCATGGGTCGGGTGGGGGGGAGCAATACAGGCATATCCGAAACCAACTGCCTTGAGAGGAGCCGGGTGTGGCTGGGCAGTAGCAAGAGGAAGTCCCACTGCAGAGCCCGGGAGCCTCTGGTTCACTTCTGTCCTCCGCAGTCCAAGTGGATTATGCATTTACAAGAACAGGGGTTGGATTAAGTAGTTCTTAATGTCCATTTGTGGTTTCCAGCGTGATTCCAAATGACCTGAATGTTCATCCCCCAGGTTCAGTGTACCAGCAGCCCCACCCACTCAAAGCACTGCAGGAGGTTCTAGGGATACTTCTGGCCTTACCTGTGTCCCCTGTGGGAGGAGGAGTCGCAGAGATCATTTATTCCCTCCGCTCTTGGGATCCTTCCTCCTCCTAGTCTGGGTAGTCTTACCTTCTTACCTAGACTGCCAGCCTCCTCACACCAATTTGTGGCTGAATATTTTTCCACCATATAGATGCACTGCACTGTTTGCTCCATTTATCAGTTGATGGACATCTTGGCTATTATGAGCTACCATGAATGTTCATATGGAATTTTCTGTGTGGATATACATTTTTATCTCTCATTAGATATACCTGGCATTGTTGGGTCATATGCTTAATATTTTGAGACTGTTTTCCAGAGTAGCTGCATCACTGACACCTGCCAGCAAACTGTGAGGACTCCAGTTTCCTCCACCTTAGCCAAGCTTCACTTTTTTAATGACAGTCACTCTGAGTGTACAGTGATACGTCTTTGGATTGAATTCCCATTTTCTGATGGCTAATGATGCTAAGTGTCTTTTCCTTTGTTTATTGGTCCTCTTTTTATCTTTTCTGGAATAGTGCCTAGTCTTACCCTTTGTAATTTTTTATTGGGCTTATTTGTTTCTAAGTTTTAAGAGTTCTTTATACACTTGAGATGTTTCTTGTCAGATAGAAGATCTGCAAATATTCTGTCTTCTGTGTCCTGGTATTTTGATGCTATTTTCTGTATCACAAATATTTTCAGTTATGACAAAGTCCAAACTTTTGTTGTTTGTACTGTTGGCATTATATCCAAGAAACTGTTTCCCAGTCCAGGTTCATCCACATTCCCGTTTTTCTGTAACAGTTTTAGTCCTTACATTTAGGTGTTTGATATATTTTGAGTTCATTCTTGTGTATGGTGTTAGGGTAGGAATCTGGCTTCATTATATGTATATGTATATCCAGTTGTTCCAACATCCCTGGTGAAAAAGACACATACACCCACCCCCTACTGTCTTGGCACCCTTGTCAAAACTCAGGTGAGGGCTAGGGATGTACCTCAGAGCACTTGCCAAGTGGGAGGCCCTTGGTTCAATCCCCAGCGCTGAAAAACAATCAGTTGGCCATAAATGTGCGGTTTGTTTCTGGCCTGTGGTCCACTGATCTGTCTGCTGGTCCTCTCTCTTCGGTTGGTCTCTACATCAGTCTTCGAGCTGCAGCAGTCACAGGCTATGATGTAGCTTATCAGTAGTGTATGTGCACAGAACTCAGGAGCACCATGAACACACACATAAAAACCCTACGCTGTGGGTTATATTTGAAACCAGCAAATGAGTCCCCAGACTTGTGTTTTTTTCAAGATTGTGATGGCTATTCTGTATACACAGGAGATTCTTAAACATCCCTGTTGCTTGGCCGTGTGCTGTCCTATTTCCTTGGCCAGTCTGCATGCGTCAGTGAAGAATCCCTCTCCTTGCTCCCTGCACAGGCCCAGGTGGCAGAGATCGAGGTGTCCTGGCTGAGCCGCCTGTGCTCAGGGCAGTGGAACGAGTGAGGGAATGTGCAGCCTGCAGCGGGCCTGTGAGCAGACCTAAATCCTGCCGACCGCCCACCCACCTTCACGCCTCTCCCCTCTCCGCTCTCCCTTGTTGCGTTGATGTCTGCCTGCTCACAGTCCTCTCCCGATGGACCTTAGCCACCTCATCCCAGCTCTTCCCTGTACCTATCATCCCAGCATGCCCCTGCTCTGTCCAAAGCAGGAGTCACGACAAAACAGCGCAGAGAGGCTGTCTGTCCCTTAGGGTGAGGCCAGTGTGGCAGCCTGGTTTTCCTGGTGGCATCCCAGCCACCTGTGTTCTCGCTGGACCCAACTGGAGTGCTGCTCTCACTACAATGCACTGATTTTGCTAGTGAGTGAAGCATTTTTCTTCCCCGAGGGCCTTCAGAAGACCAAAGAGGAGCTGGAGGTGCAGCTCGTGGTAGAGCTCTTTCCTGGGAAGCTCGAGGCCTTGGGTTTCATCTTCAGTACGACCACCAAAGTGGGCGTAGGGCGCGCGGAGTGTGAGTTAGAGCATAGACTTTTCTGAAAAAGTCTCAAAATCAGCTTCCTTGCTGCTGGTCCCTCAATACGAAAGGTTTACAGCTGTGGCCTTTTTAGCCCACTGCCCCCAGCTGGAGGGTGTTCTGGTTTTTGTTTTTTAGTTCTTAAAGTGATAAAAACCGATTACACCCTGTTCATCCCTGTGGGGTGCGGGGCGGGCTTCTCCACCACCTCCCTGTGGCTTCTGTGCACTGAGCAGGCTTCGTGCTGCCCCGCCGCTGGCTGCAGGCTCGCCGGGCTCCCAGCCTCTGGGCCTCCCATGCTAGTCCACGGGCTGAACCTTCCCTGCACCTGTGCATGCGGCAGGGCCACGTGTCATTTCACCAGCAGTAACGCCACTGGCTGTTTACTGAATGCCCTCTTGGTGCCTGTCTTTATGTTAGTGTCAGATTAAATCAAGTGGGACAAAGGGAAAAGTTTTGTAATATCTATAGGCCTAAACAAGTATGCTTTGGGCACTGAGTCCTGTTTTGGGGTGTGTGTTTGTTTCAGGTGTTAGGGATTGAACCCAGAGCCTTTGCATTGAGCTACAGCCCAGACCTTTTTTTTATTGTTGTTGGTTTTTTTTGGTCCTTTGTCTTTTTTGAGACACGGTCTCACTAAGTTGCCCTTGCTGGGCTCCAGCTTGCAATATTCCTGCTTCAGCCTCCCAGAATAAGGGGATTCTAGGCATGTCTCACCATGCTCAAATCTATTTTCTTCTTTAGGGGTTAGAAAGAGGCCACTATACTGTTTCCATGTAGCCTCTCAGCCAGTTAAGAACTACTCAGATGAGCCAGGTAATGGTAAAAACAGAAGTAGCATTGTAGGTAAATGCCTATCTTGTGGCTCAGAGCTACAGCCAAAGCGCCCCATTACCCCTTCTCCTTCTCTCCTTCTGTTCCCTGTTTGTTTTTGTACCAGGAATTGAACTCAGGACTTTGTGCTTGCCAGGCAGGCACGGTGATGTGAGCTATATCCCTGTCCCCTGTTCCCCAGTTTAAATCTATTTTCTCACTGCAGCACCAAGAAGAGGGAGGCTGCAGGGCTCTGAGAATGGTAAGATCTGTTCTTTGGACTGCTCTGTGGCCTCTAAGAAATGTAGACCTTGCTGGCCATTCACCAGCCATGCCTGTCTTACCATAAAAACCCGTATCTCTGAAACTGATGCAAATTCTCCAAATGTGCTTCATATGCACCATGAAACTTGTTGGGGATTCTGATTTCTTTATAGCCACGTGGAGCCCTATGACTCTGCACAAGCGAGTTAGCCTGTCTGAGCCCAAAGCAGGGGTGGGGATACTCAATCCACAGATACTGGGCACTAGATACAGTTCAGGGTAGAAGTCTTGCCTACCAAGGTGCTGGGCTAATTCCCAGCACTGCAGAAACAAAAACTAAAAAGCATAGGTGCCAGAAGGACTGATGATGTACTTGACCACCCACGAGGCCACAGGGGAGCCTCACTGAACACCCTAGAGAACTGAGCCATCTCGTCCTGACTCAGTCTTCTTCCTGTATGTGTGCTGAGAAACTCGAACTGGGGCCCAGTGTTGAGCATGCTGAGGTTGGAGATATGGATTTGGGGGAGCAGAGGGCCCAACAGAGGGTATATGTACCGGGCATTGGTACAAAGTGGGAGGTTTCAGTCCCAAGTTCCATGTCTCCTGGAGACTGGGGTGTTGACATAAGTGTCCACACCTCCCCCTCCCAACAGCTCCACACTTAGGGCTGTCTAAGGCCAAATGGTGAAGCAAGCAGCGGTTTCCCCAGGCACCTCACTTCCTCCTCTGCACCCTCTTCCCCTTTTCTACGGCCCCCTCTTCAACGTGGCTGGGCCATCAAGGGTCTAAAGAAACCAATTCAGTGAAGACAGGGGGCAGCAACGTATGAGCAGAATCCAGCCCACCCCTGCTTTGGGATGGCCATAGCTGCACATGGCGTTTCCAGTTTTCAGTGGTTGAAAAGATCAGAAAAATGGTATTTTGTGATACATGAAGTTTAGGTTTCAGTATTGATAAATAAAAATTTGTTGGAAGATAGCTACAGCCATCTTGTTTACATATTATATATAGCTGAAGGGTTGGGGGTTTAGCTCAGCAGCTTAATTGCCTGCCTGGCCAGTGCAAGGTCTTGAGTTTGATCTGGTATCAAAAATAGGAAAAAAAAATTATATATATATATATTAAAGGTTACTATCTGCAGAGTTTAGTAGTTGTGACTGGGACTTAGGGTCCACACAGTTTGAAATAAACACTCTAGGCCAGGGATTTAGCTCAGCAGCTTAAATGCCTGCTTGGCAAACATGAAGTCATGAGTTCAATCCTCAGTACGAAAAAAAAAAAAAAAAAAAAAAAAAAAAGGAAGAAAGAAACACTCTGTGGCCATTGAGGAAAAGCATGCCTCCCTGCTCCAAGACGACAGAGATGACACAGGTATCTACCCAAAAGGATACCAGAGGACTAGGCCCCGTGGAGGGGTGAACTGTCTCCTCCCACAGTTGGGGCTACTGCTGCTCACACTGGAAAGGTAGTGGTAGGGTTCAGACCTATGACTCATTCTAGCCCTAAAGACAGCAAGGGGATTCCGGGCCTTCAGTGAGCTGGTGGCAGGGGATCCCCCCAAGAAGTGTATTCATT